CTTACTTCACGACTTGATTGAGGGGGACTTGTTCGAGGGCTTTTACGTACCAAGAGATGAAAAATTCGCGAAGAGAAAAGAAGACACGTTCAATACCAGCACAGTTTTCTCAGTATTGCATTTGGTAGCGCCAACAGTTGAGGGAATGATCCAAAATAGGGCAAAGGCAGTGGCGGATTTATAGGGGGGTCAAGGGGGTCGATCGACCCCCCGGCCGGCTTAATTTTCCCTTAATAGGGGGTATTTGGTGGCCTTCATTTTTTCCGGCTGACCCCTCCGGTTGCCGCTGCTGCGCTGCAAGAATACATTTGGTGAAGTCTCAAAGAAGAAGATGACATTGGGCTTCTTTTCCAACACAATATGAAATAACAAAGTCAATTGTAGCCCAAATATTTTTTTTAAGTCAGAATTTGGGCTTCACTTAAAGGCTTTTTTGTTTTCAATTTTAGCTTTTAAACTAAAGTTTCATTAAACAGAAGAAGAAGAAAAAGAGACGGCGAATGTGCCTCTCAAATTTAATTAAACAGAGCTTTATTTGTAAAAAGAAGAAAATGACAAGGAACTTCAGAACTCAAAGCTCCTGCGGCGCCTAATGCCTATGCTTTTTGCAAACTTGATCAAAAATTGAAGATCTAATCAAACTTCGTGTCCTCCTCTGAAGTTTTGATGGCTAATAAACTTAAGTAAGCTTTTTTATTTTCTTTTGTTTATTCAATTTTCTGTTATTCTATTCTAGGGTTTAGTATAATACTTTATAATATTGTTGGCAGATTATTTTATAAATTGTGGTCTAGTTTTTCACTTAGTGAGTTAGTGTGTTTGTTTGATATGTTCTCTAGAAAGTTAGAGTATTTTTTAGCATTTAATTTTTTTTGGTCTTGTTAGTCTTCGTCACTGATAGGGAAGTATAATATAATTAAGCGCTTTAGTTTGCTAACGATTAAGGAGTGTTTTTTCTTTTTTAGTTTTGATTTGTATTTTCTTTTTTATCATCTAGGGATGTTTCTTTGGATAGATTTTTTAGCAAGAAGCCTAAACCAAGCATTGAGTCTTCGTCGAATAATTTGAATGTCAATGAAAGTAATAGTAAAAGGGTCCGAGAAGAATTTGAGTTATGTGAAGATGAAATTATTGGTGATCCTGCTTTGCGTAAATCAATTAATGATTATTCGGTTAACATTCGAGATAAAGTAAGGAGTAGATACTTAGCAAAAGGCCCTTCTCAACCAAGAGGACAAATTTTTCCTAAAGAAATATTAGTGGATGCTTGAGAAGATTTCGAGAAAAATGGTTTGATAATTTTTGTTGGTTAGAGTATAGTGCATCGAAAGATGCCGCATTTCGTTTATGGTGTTATATGTTCCCTACCGGTAATAAAAATGGAGATGATGTCTTTACGGAAAATGGTTTTACAAATTGGAAAAAGGCATTTCAAAAGTTCCGAGATCATGAAGGGAGTAATGATAGTAGACACAATAATGCTAGAGTTCAATTTGAGTCATTTGAAGATAAAAGGCATAATTTGGTGAATACGTGGCATAAAACAACTAAAGAGCATGAGAATGATTATCGCATTCGGTTGACTGCGGTAGTGGATGTGATTCGATTCCTTCTAAAACAAGGTTTTGCCTTTTCGTGGAAATGATGAGTCCGTAACTTCTTTGAATCGTGGTAATTTTCTTGAACTTCTTAAATGGTATTGTGAGCATAATGAAGAAGTTAATAGGGTGATGAAGTTAAATGTTCCAGGAAATCACCAATTGACTTCACCAAAAGTTCAAAAGGATATTGTTAATGCATGTGCTACAGAGGTGAGAAATACTATTGTGAATAAGATTGGAGGAAAATTCTTTTCTATTTTGATTGATGAGGCTCGTGATTGTTCTACAAAGGAACAAATGGCTATGTGTTTGAGATTTGTGGATGAGGATGGAGAAGTGATTGAACGATTTCTTGGGGTAGTCCATGTTAGTGACACTTGTGCATCATCTTTGAAGAGTGCTATTGAAGGTTTATTCACAAAACATGGATTAACTATGTCTAGACTACGAGGACAAGGCTATGATGGGGCATCCAATATGCGAGGTGAGTTTAATGGACTAAAACAAAAAATTTTGGATGAACACAAATCTGCATTTTACATTCATTGTTTTGCTCATCAATTACAGTTAGTTGTCGTGGCTACCTCATCGGAGCTTTCTAGTGTAAAATACTTTTTTGATTATCTTGGTATGATTGTGAATATTGTTGGAGCTTCATGTAAAAGGAAAGATGCTATTCGTCAAAAGCAATATGATGATTACGTTGCACGTATAGAGATGGGTGAAATTTCTACGGGAAAGGGAAAAAATCAAGAAATGAGCTTGGCACGTCAGGGTGACACTCGTTGGGGATCTCACTTTAAAACAATTCATAGACTTTTACAATTGTGGACTCCGGTAAGAGAAGTACTTATTGCTTTGTCTAGAGAAGGCGATGGAAAAATTAAAGGCAATGCTTTGAGTTTGGCCGAGAAAATGGAAAGTTTTGAATTTGTGTTCATTGCTCATTTGATGATGAGTTTACTTGAAAAGACAAATGATCTTTCGCAGGCCTTGCAATTAAAGAATCAAAATATAGGCAATGTTGTCCAATTGATTGAAGATGTGAAGTATGATTTGAAGAAGTATAGGGATCATGGGTGGGAGGAGTTATTGAAAGAAGTCATCATATTTTGTTCAAAAAATGAGATTGGTGTACCTAATATGGAAGATATCATTCCAGGCCGAGTTAGGAGAACAGTTGATGATGAACCACAGACTTACCGCCATCGTTATCAGGCAGATATTTTTTATCAGGTATGTTATTTTTCATTATTGAAATTAACAATATGTAACATTTGTTTTTCATGTTATGAAGTATTAATTATATATATTTCTTATAATGCTAGGTTGTTGATCTTCTTTTCAATGAAATGAATGACCGATTTACAAAGACAAACTCAGAGTTGCTTATGTGTATAGCATGCTTTGATCCTAGGGATTCATTTAGCAAATTTAATAGTGAAAGGTTAGTACGTCTTGCGGAGTTATATCCTGAAGATTTGTTGGTTCTGATTTAAATCTTTTAAGAACACAGTTGAACCGGTACATTGAGAATGTGAGAAAGAATGAAGCTTTTTATGGACTTCATGACATCGGAGAACTTGCAAAGAAGATGATTGTAAAGGGATATCACACTATGTATGCTTTAGTATATCGTCTTCTCGAGTTGACTTTGGTTTTGCCTGTTGCAACAGCTACTGTCGAAAGGTCTTTCTCCGCAATGAAGTTTATTAAGACTGATTTGCGCAATAAGATGGGTGATGATTTTCTTACTGATTTGTTGGTGTGCTACATTGAAAAAGAAATTTTTGCAAGTGTTGATAATGAAGTAATTATGCAGCGGTTTCAAGACATGGGACCTCGAAGATCACAATTACCTGCTACCACTCGTTCTCGTCTTTGTAATACATTAGTTGGGAGGAAAAAAGTAATTATACCATCACTAGCAAGTGCAAAGAAGAAATAAGCCACTTGAGATGACTTTGTCGATAAACTTTATTTTTTACGTTATTATTTTTTTCTAGTACATGTAAGAATTACTCTTTTTCGACAAGTGAGAATTACTTTTTTCTTTCGACCCTCCAACTTGAAAGTTCTAGTTCTGTCACTGCGGCAAAGGGATTTCCGTATTTCACAGAGATCGACTCCCTTTTCAATGAAGGAATTCACATCCCAACCGTCAATCAGGGTCTTCTCGATGTTATCCCGAATCTTATCAATACTGTTGCCGACACTGGAAACCGTGTTATGCTTTACGCGACTCCTGAGTTTATTGACAGTACGTAATAATTACCCTCCTCTTCCTCTGTTTATGCATTTTTCTAGTGTTTCTGCATAATGTTCACATCTACACCTTTGCTATATTTTCATTAAAGGTAAGAGTAAAACACGAACAGTAATTTTGACACAGAATAATAAGCTTTTGTACTAAACTGATGAGTAAATGACGTATCAATCGATGTAAACTTTTGTTGTTATGATTTAAGTCAATAACATGAATGTTACTTCAATAGAATAAATGACTAAAATTAGATCAAAATTCAGTAATTTTTTGGTTTCTTTCAGGGGATAAATTTGGATGGCTAAGGGATGTTGAATTTTCTCGTCAAATCCTAGCTGGTGTAAATCCATGCACCATCGAGTTGGTCAAGGTACACTATTTCTTCATACATGATAGGACTCATTAGACTTGGGCCACAACGATTTCCGAGGGGGATTGATTGGAAATTGGATTCTAACAAACTTTTTTCCCCCGAAATTGGATTCTCAGGAATGGCCTTTGAAGAGCCAACTAGACCCCAAGGTTTATGGACCTGCGGAATCAACCATCACAACAGAAATCGTTGAGCAACAAATTAAAGGTATAATGACGGTTGAAGAGGTAATTAAAGACGAATTAAAGTTTCCCTATATGAATTTACAGAGTAAGAACAATTAAAGTTTTGGTTTTGAAGTTCTATTTCGAATTCGATTATCGAAATTGATTGTTGATGCAGGCCCTGAAACAGAAGAAGTTGTTCATTTTGGATTATCATGATATTCTCTTACCATATGTAGAGAGAGTGAGAACACAGGAGGGGACAACACTTTACGGATCAAGGACATTATTTTACTTGACCCCTGATAACACATTGAGTCCTGTTGCCATTGAACTTGTTTGCCCTCCAATTAATGGAAAGCCTCAATATAAAGAAGTTTTCACACCTACTTGGAGTTCAACTCGCATGTGGCTATGGAAGCTTGCTAGAGCTCGTGTGCTTGCTCATGACTCTGGTATTCACCAGTTAGTCAGTCACTGGTACGCCTTTAACTTTATCAGGCGAGCGGGATATAAAAGAGTCATGTTTGTTGAACTGTTCATTTTACGTTACTCTTTTTTCAAGCATCGTTTTAAGAAATCAATGTGTTCTGTTGTAGGTTGAGGACTCATTGCTGCACGGAACCCTACATTATCGCGAGCCATCGCCAGCTTAGCGAAATGCATCCAATCTACCGGTTGTTGCATCCTCACTTCCGATACACAATGGAGATCAATGCCTTGGCTCGTCAGTCGCTGATTAATGCTGGTGGAATCATTGAACAATCATTTTCTCCACTCAAGTATTCTATTGAGCTCAGCTCTGTTGCTTATGATAAGTTGTGTCAATTTGATCTCCAAGCAATGCCAGCTGATTTAATCCACAGGTAACTTAATTATGACCTTATATCAAAAAATGAATTTGGATGATAAAAAATCATTCTTCAAGTTGCAAATGAATCTAAAATTTAATGGAGAGAGCACCATTGGTTTTTGGTATTCAGTGGAATGGCAGAGCCAGATCCAACTCCAGAGGATCCAGATAATTTAAAGCTAACAGTTACAGATTAGCCATATGCAAATGATGGATTGCTCCTTTAGAGATACCTAAAAGAATGGGTAACAGCTTATGTGAAACACTATTATCCTGGACCAGAATCAATACAATCTGATGAAGAACTTCAGGCCTGGTGGACCGAAATTCGAACAGTTGGGCACGGCGATAAGAAAGATGAGCTTTGGTGTTGGTGGCCTGTCCTGAACACCCCTGATGACCTAATTGGAATTGTAACAACCATAATTTGGGTAACCTCAGGGCACCATGCTGCTGTAAAATTCGGCCAATACAATTACGGTGGTTACTTTCCAAACAGGCCAACCATTGCGAGAACCACAATGCCAACTGAAGATCAAAGTAAGGAGAGATGGGATCTATTCATGAGGCGGCCCGAGGGCGAGCTCTTGTCTTGCTTCCCTTCACAATTTCAGGCAAGTCTTGTGATGACAGTTCTTCATATCCTGTCGTCTCATTCGCCTGACGAGGAATACATTGGAGATGTGATTGAGCCCGCTTGGGTGACGGATCCGGTTAAAAAAGCTGCATTTGAGAAGTTCCAGGGGCGTTTGAAAAAGCTTGAAGCAGAAATTGACAGAAGAAACATTGATGAAAAGCTCAAGAACAGGAGTGGCGCAGGTGTGGTTCCGTATGAGCTCCTGAAACCTTTTTCTGAGAAAGGAGTCACTTCAAAAGGGGTTCCATACAGCATCTCTATTTGAGTTTACTGAGGATAGAACTTTTGTTTGAAAATAAAGAAAAATTTTCGGATTGTACCCCAAAAAAAAAAAAAAAACAAGAAGAAAAGTTTAAGAATGTAAAATTTGTCATTAATTAATGGTTATAATGTGAAAGAGCAGGAATGTATAATTCTTATTACAGCAGCAGGAATGTGTAAGTCCATTAATTACTTGTTTGGCTTATTGCATGAGAAATTCGCTCAAACAATACTCTTACCAGGCCTAACTATATATCTCATGCAACGATCTATTCCTAGTTCTAGAACTAATTTTCCTTCAGTTATTACATACTCTCTCTGTCCCAAAATTATTGTCCAGTTTAAGATTTTATTTTTAGTACAATTTGAACTAGAAATAAAAACTCAAAATGTACAATAATTATGGGACGGAGGGAGTACTCAATTACATTTTGAGCAATGTTTCTAGTCTCAATAAATTTGCATATTACATGAATTTTTGTTGTTTCTCTAACGGATGCTTACAATAATGCTTTTCTTCTATAAAGTATACCCCATGTATCTGCTTCTGATTATTGAATGTTTTCAAAATGAAACGTCCCTAGCTACTTGACGAAGAAAAGGTGAGTTTGAAAATGTGGCCACAAGCAATCATCCAGTTGTCTACTGTACATATATACATACGTCACATCAACGTGTATCACATTGCCAAAAAAAATTTACACTTCTTTCAACTTCTTAATTAAATCATGCAATTTTTTATTTTTTTATTTTTTTTTTGTATTGGACATATCCTCGTACGTTCAAATTAATACGTCCTAGTAAAAATCCAAAGTTAAGAACCAAAAATAAAAATTAAATATAAAAAAATTATTCCATCTCACATAAAGTAACTGTCATGGTTTAGTTTCCCAACAACCATTTGGAGACGAAGGAATACTATTATGACTTACTATCCACAAATTTTGAAGAACAAATAAAAAAATATATACTCCTTTTATCCCAAAAAAATATATACTTTGTTGTACTGGTTTAGTGTAATAATTCAAAAAAACATGCCCTAAGACCGTTCAGGTTAATTTCGAAAAGCAAACCCCAAAACAGGATTATATGGAATAGTTAAACCACGAAATAAATAAAATAGCTAGCTAGCTATGGAAATTGGAATTCTTTAGATTATTTTTCAAGAGAAATGGGAGAAGAATTCTTGCCGCATTTTACAACAGGTAAGAATATTCGAACCTGTCACTTTGGCACTGAATTCTCTAAGCAGTGAGCCGACGGTTTGTTCCCAAACTTGCGAGACGTGACAAAAAACATACACGAATTGAAATGATCGGTGAACACAAAAAAGCTATGGTACATGCAGTCGCCACTCATAATGTAACATGTAATTTTTTTCTTTTAACAAAAACACACACACAAGACAGAAGTACAAAGATGAGATCGATCATTTGCTGTCTGGTCCCAACTCGTAACGCAAATGAACGAAAAACCAAAAAGAGTCAAAATACTACAAAGTGATTATTATTCGTAAGTGACTCTTGGATTCTTCAATATTCATTTTTCTGATCGTAAGTTTCCTTGCCTTAATGGCAAAACCATATCGTATTGGTTCTAACAAGGTCCAACGTGTTTTATGCAACTTCCATCTTATAAAATACTTCACTTTTTTTTAGGACAGCTAGAGTAATTTCTTTCCTAGTGAATTGTTACACATATTTTCTTGTTCCTTTTGGTAGGGATAAAAAAACAAAAACATTCAATATTTGTCATATACCGCATATGCATTTGTTTCATGGAAGCATTCAATATTGAATAACTATTGATGGTTTATATTTTATGATTGTCTTCGTATTTCATGAACTTCGACTTCAGTTTCCGAAAAATGGCGTACTCGTACACGTTTTAGCTAGTAGTGTATGAGTGTGCAGGAAAAATCATCTCACAAAAGCTCTTCATGTCATAACCAGACCGCAAAGGACGAAGAAATAATACAGCAGAAATGATTGAAGCAACATACCTCTATGATTTGTTTGAACAGTCTATACGTAATTGTTTATCTGGTAAAGAAATTAAATCTTTATAAAAAAAAATATACCTTTATGATGTTTAAGCTAAAACGATGATTAATATGAGTGTGGTATGTGTTTATTTCAAACAATTGTATTTTGAACCCTAAACAATATGGCCTAACAGTTGATTGTGACCTCGTGGATTAAAGTAGTCCTTGGACTAGCATAACTGCATATGTCAGCTAGTTACAACCGTTTAAATCTGCCCTTTTAAATGGCGTTACTCTTGATAACTAGCTAGTGCGACACTTTGCTGTTAACAAAAGAATTTTTTAAAAAAAAATTTATATAATAGGTTGTCTGTTATCTATAATAACTAATATCTTCCTTCGACGATCAACTAGTACATATTAATGTGGTTTTGGTTCGATAATTTTATGAGACATTTTCCCTTTTTAGTAACTTCTCTCTAACTTATCTCTAGACCACCATTAATGGTGGTCGGGAGAACCATTTCTATATTTATTTCTATTTGAATTTCAGTCTTTTTTATTTAAGTTAGCTACCAAAAAACGAGCTGCTGCAAGAATGACAGATCTGGCCATGGACAACCACTATCTTTACCAAACTATCTGAGATGCCGCCGCGGCCCCAACGCTTTTGCTGAGGTTCAGATCCGATCGGCTGCAACATCACCTCCACCATAGCTGCCGTTCATCCACCGTCGACGCCAACGGATCACGCTGAAGGCTGCAACACTGGATGCTACTTCCACCATCCGTGTTGAGGGCTGCAGATCTGGAGCTTTTAATCCAGATCTGAATGTGGCATATCCGGCCGCTGCTCCGATGCCAATCGAGAGGAACTCCACATCGACCTCGCGCTCCACTGCCCGATTTTCAGATCCGGTAGTCCCAGTCGTCGGTCATCGATCCAAACGATGCGTCCCTAGCCTGGATCTCCATCTGTTACAAAGCGGCATCACCGGCTCTGTAGAGAGTTACAGATTTGTCTTCAGATCTGAAGAACAGTCACTGTTCTCCACCCGCGTGGCCGACCAGATTCACGGCGCCGTTGCCATTGCTGACGGAAGAAGCCCGCTGCGTTGAAATTGGCCGGTCCATTCAAGTCAGCCGGTCCATCCGGTTTTCGTAGATCGGATTCACTATAGAACCGGCCAGCCTTGGTTCGGTTAACATTAGCAGACCAGTCCCTACCGGTTTGTTGGTATCTTTTTAAACAAACCAAATTGAATTATATTGTTATTTATATGTGTGTTTTATTGCGGTAACTTAGGAATTATATTTTGGTGACCCTGTTAGGAACAACAGTTTCTGTTTTCATATATATCACTCATAGGTCTGGATACTCCATATGCCCACCAACGCAGCATTTCAAATATGTGATCTTAGAGAAGTGAATCACGATGACAGGAAAAAAGTCTATTGTTTATTATACTAGGGTTACTGGAAAGATAGTTTTGACGGAACTGCTAAAACCGACATTATATGTAACTAGTATATTTTTGATTAGGTTGCTTTCGAAAATATCTGTATATTTACTGATGTTTAAAAGTTTCGTCATTATATAGCAGACTCTCAATTGTACAGGTTAAGTATTAAGCACTGCCCTGAAATCTCTTCATTTTGTCTATAAAATCACCAGGTACCGTCCTAGTTTTAATTAAAAAAAATAATAATGTGGTTTGGGTTCTCCCAATTCTTTTATCACCATCACCCTTACGTACTCTGAAAAGCAAAGATCCTTACATTTTCATAAAATATATGATGTTATTGATAATAAAAAAACCATAAAGGTTTTTCTTCATTATAATCGGCTTCCTAGAAATAACACTTAATAATTATGTGCAACACGTCATTTTCCTAATCCATTTAACTATAAGAAATTAAATATTCGAGATACCATTCACATATATATGACAACGTTGATTGAGTAACGATCAATAACATTATTCTAGCCAACCATACATGAGCCATACAAGTTAAGGTACCTTTTTCATGGACGTATTCTTTTTTTTTTTTTTTAAATTTCATTTTATTTCTTCATAGTACATGTGGTCCAAGTAGTACGAAATGTCATCTTAAATAATTAATCATCCTCGAGAATGAAATAAAGGAAAAAATAATAAAACAGAAAGTAATTAAAAACGGTTCATGAGTTTTTAAAAGGGGCCGGAAAACAATTTCTTCTGCCCTATATATATCTTTATGAAAGGCAACTTCAAACTAATCAACAAACTAAGTTAGGTTAAAAAAAAGTGTGGTTTTCATTTGAAACACAGCCATGAGGGGTGAAATGTTGGTTTTTGGTTGAAGGAAAAGTGACTCATTTTGATTCCTATCCATGTAAACACCTGGATGAATTTTTGTTTAGAGCATTCAGTAGTTGAATCGCTGCTCGTTTTTAAGATGATACCAAACTTTTACATCCTTTTTGATATTTTCTTTTCTTTCTTCTTCTTTTTTACATTCATTTTTTCTAGCTTCGTAGGATAAATGTACGTACGGTATGCCTTCGGCCATGTTTATCTACATTAATGAACAGTGATAATGTATTGATTTTTTATGGTAATCTATTGTTGACTTGATGTCAGCAAGACTATGTTCTGAGGAGTGAAGAATGTCCTAGGCTAATTCTGGACTAGCCACAAATAATACATGGATGTTGGAAGAAGAATATTTATAATCAATATACAAGAATGTTACGTATCGAGCCCATGTCATGTACCCGGATTTTGCATCCGAACCTGTCATCAAAACGTGTTTAAAATTATTTACTGCCTGCTAGGAGTTTACCCATGTTCTATCAAATAGCTCAAGCAAAAGTTTCAATTTACAGATGAACCATAATTGAACAATTGAAAGCTGTCTCCTGCATGATTGGGTCATTAAACTATTTTTAATACATAGTCATTTACATATTTTTTTCTTTCTTCTTTTGTGAAATTTTAGATATATGTAATTAAAAAAAATAATACTCATTTTCTCTCAAAATGATTGTCCTGATTGGATTTTGTTTTTTGATTCAATTTGTTTAAGAATGAAAATCCATACTAAATAATCAGAATATTATTACTTTTCTAATCATCACTCCCTAAATGAAATCGGAACAATATACGTACTACTAATATTACAGTATAAATGTAGTGACATATAATATGTTTTCTTGAACGCGAAAGATGTAGGGCATATAATCTGAACTTGTATACTACAATGATTTCTGTTTAGATCAAACAAATAGCACATGACATATAGTCCATGTACTATTTTTTATATGAATAGAAACCGATGTTGTATTTCTTCAGCCAGCGAAAGCCGAACCCTTGAGAAGAACAATATTATTGTGATTCACATGCTTAATTTGGCTAGTCTTTTTCTTTTTTTTTGGTACAAAGAAAGAGGCTAATTAGGTTAGTCTATTTAGTTGCATATAAATAGAAGGGTTTCTTCCTCAGCTTTCAACACAAAGAGCCTGAGGGTATACCAACCAACCAAAATAAAACCCTTATTCATAGTAAGTTACAATTTCCTTCCTTTTAGTCAATGAAAATGCTAAATCCTCAAATTGTTCCTCATCCTTCACAAAAAGCCTTATTTTCCTTGCAAAAGCCATTCCTCTCAGGAAATGGTAACATCAACGGAACTATTACCTGTTCGTCTTCCTCTTCTTCTTCTTCGTCTAATTCCTATGGTTTTCGACGAAAATCCACTTCACTTGAAAGGAACGTAACGGCTAACAGTAAAAGTGGCAGCAATGGCCGCCGGCGGGATGCTACAAGAAGCTTAAAGGCGGTGTTCGAGACTGAGGCAGCCGCCGTTTCCACCACCACCGAGAAGAGTACTCGGGTTAAGGCGGTTGTCTTAGTTAAACCATTCAGCTCCGGACTAACCGACGGGCTGATGAAAGGATTGGATGTTCTAACCGACGTGTTCGTAGGAGGTGTACATTTAGAACTTGTTGCTGCTGAACTTGACCCTAGTAAGTTTTATCGAACTAATTATGAATCACTTAATTATCTAACAATAATGCAAACTCCTTAATTATTTTATGGTACTATTTCTTCCGTCACAAAATGATAATACAACCAACCGAAAATTATTTGGGGACTATAGGTATTAATCCCTAAACAATGATTTAACTTGCAAGTTTATCAACAACATATGTTATTACCCTATGGTTATTTACTTACAAAATTGATTCATTCATGTAGATTTTTACCTAATTAAAAAGCCAAAAAAAAAAAAAAACGCTTCGAAATCATCCTCCAAGCTTGAGTTTTGTCACAATATATATAGTTCCATAAGCTCTACCATGCATAATTTCTCTAACGTCGAGAACATCTATTTTGTTTTCTTGGCTTAGATGAAATACAAATTATATTACCCTGATTTGTTTTTTCATCAATTGAAACAATCCATGATGAAGCTAATGGGGACGAGAAGCCGACGCTTAGGGGTGTTGGGAAACTATGCATAAATACGAAAGAGGAGATGGTTTATGAAGCGGATTTCAACATTTCTGACGAATTTGGAGAAGTCGGAGCAATATTAGTGGAGAATGAGCACCATTCAGAAATGTTCATCAAAGAAATAGTCTTGGATGGCTTCTTATCTGATGGTCCTCTTACTTTTAGCTGTGAGTCTTGGGTTTCTCCCAATTTTGACACTCAAGATAAAAGAATTTTCTTCAGCACCAAGGTTAGTATCCTCTATTTACGTAAATATATAGATTTATTTTAACTTATTGATCTCTCTATTGACGTCAGCTTCTCCACATACTTAAAATTCCTTCGAGATTAGTTAACTGTAAACAGTAAATGAAAAGGTAAATTAATATGCGCATAACAAAGATATTAGACATGTGATGAATGAGACCACAAAAAATTTATGAATTTATGGACCTTAATTCCAACAAGAAGAAAATAAAGGCATACAACCAATGGAAACTATATATACAATTGCTGGTCCTATTTCTATTTGTTTTTTCCTGTGAAAACTTTAGAAATTAAAAAGGGGAGAAAAGCCAAAATAGATAGCCATGCTCTGTGAGTCTGTGTAACCTCGTTCATGTTTTCCCTTTCAATCGGCTTCTACGAAGATGGACCATATATAAGCCTACTTTAATTTCCGTTTTTATTTTAAGTCATTAGCATTTTTCTCAAAATAGAATCAATTTTCACAATGTCACCGTAAAAATCTTTAAGATTCATCTAATGATAAATTTAATCTCCTTATACAAACATAAAATCAATTTTTACATAGAGAACTTCTAATTTGATACTCCCTCTATACTAAAAATAATTTTTTTTCAAAACACAATATAAACTTTTTTTGAAATAGCGATAATTCTTTATTAATCACAAAATGACTGTCAAGTTTAGACTTTTACTTTTAGTAGAATTTTTACTATAAATAAAAAATCAACCGGACAATAATTCGGCACTGAGGGAGTAATTTGCTATGTGCAAGCTTAAGATACACACGTACATGAAAATTTGATTCTTATCTTGAGATGGTGATGGTAATGTTGCGTGCCAGTGCTGGATGATTGTTTCACGAGGGAATTGTACATTAGGATTCGTATGTTTCTTTGGTCCTAGAATAATTACATGGTCCTGGCTTTTTTCCTTTTTGCTGTTAAAAAAATTTATCAGTGGCGAAAAATACAATTCATTGAAAATTCACTGTTTCCCTTTGATTTCCTTACATGTAAATATAGTATACTTTGTTTATTACTCCTTTTTTGCACGTCATTAAGAAATTCTTAATTTTTTCATTAAACTTGAAATTTGAAGAATACTATAATTTCACTGTAATAACTTATAGAAAAGACTCTGGGACAATGATACACTTCATGAAATTTCTAATTAAAAAGAAAACTTTTAAAGATGATGTTGATTAAATCACCGTCGTCCTATCTGGAATTCATCCTAGATTTCATCCATTTAATGTATAGTTTCGAATTCCATCCACATCGATCTTTACATACCGATCGATATGTATATTGAGAAATTTGCATTAAAGTCATGTAGAAATTTACATTAAAGTCATGTTGCATCAGTCAGTATCTTTTAAAACTAGATTATTGTCTTTGGAAAAAATATTCAATGCAGCAAGTATACCACGTAGGATTGTGCAATCAGATACAATATATAGGGTAAACTTATAATTTTTGGATACAAGTAATAATTTCTATGGGAATTTAACAACAAAATAGGGAGGTAATAGTACTTGTGATAGTACTTGTTGTATTAAAAATAGAAATACAACTGCTGTATAGAATATTTTTCCATTGTGTTGATGTCCAGTTAATGATCACCATCCCATAATGCATCTTTAATGCTTAATATTACCAATTTAGAAACGACAGTATATTTCGGGAACTAGACAGTTATATTTGTTCATGTCCAATCACCATACATTCTTGAATTGACTATATATATGTACCATAATAGTGAGATGTCCTGAAAACGATGGAGATTTTTTTGAGAGATCTAAATATTCCAAATATTCCCTTTTCATGTAACCCTCACCATTTCTCACCTTTTAGTGTCTATCCCTACTGAAAGTTTGTTACGTCAATCTCCAGCAATCCAGAAAATGCATCAATCACTCGTTTAGTTTCTCTGTTTTCTCCACGGAACACTGTGGATCAGTGGATGTGTGGATGGCTGAAGATGATGATAACATATTGACGATAGTAATTAATGAGTATTTAAAAGTCCTTTTTCTAATAAAAATGATGTAACATATACAGAACTCTCTATGAAACTGATGAACTATTTGCGACCGCAAAGGAGAAACCAATGTTTTTGTCCCATTTATAATTTTGGGAAACCCTAATAAATCAATCACGAGCTATTGAACTATATCTGTGCCTCGTTTTAATTTCTAGTTTTCACTTAAACCAAAATAAGTTCACTCTAAGTAGCACACCTTTTAGCCACAGTTTGGTATCAAAATGAATCACATGTTAAAATATAGTGTCTAAAGCGCAATTGTTCAATAATTTAGAACATAAATATTGGAATTCTGTAAACGATCTTTTTCTCTTGTGAAAAAAAGAAAATTACACTGTAAACTTCTTAACATACACATTTATGCTTACATACATCCTGGTACATATTTAGTGTGATAATATTTGCTTCCTTGTTTTTTTTGGCAGTCATATTTACCATCAAAAACACCAAGTGGACTGAAGAAATACAGGAAAAAAGAGCTAGAAAATAAAAGAGGAGATGGAACCGGACAACGAAAGAGGTCGGACAGAATTTATGACTATGATGTGTACAATGATCTTGGAGACCCTGATCACAATCCTGATTTCGCTAGGCCAGTTCTTGGTGGTAATAAAGAATACCCTTATCCAAGACGTTGCAGAACTGGTCGCCATAAATCCAAAAGAGGTAGAACATTGATTTTTTTTTTGAAACAATAATTTTTACGAGATTAAATAATGTTCAAACCCAACATCGATTACAAAACCTGGTGAATAATACACATAAAAATAAACGCTGACAAAAAAAAAAAAAGTGCTGAACACAAAATTATACAATTGTATTCTTTAATGGACGAATTATAAAATTACACGAGGAGTGTCACAACTCCGTACATATGTTTACAAATGATAAGAACAGCGAACTTTGATCTAATTAAATCTTATTCATTTTAATTAATTCAACAATTAATCTATTGAACATTGAACATTGAAATACATGAACATTGATTCTATTTTTATTTTGCAGATCCATTAAGTGAATCAAGAGGTGATAACTTCATTGTGGACTTGCTTGACGGCGATTTGTTTGAGGGCTTTTACGTCCCAAGAGATGAACGATTCTCCCAAGCGAAGGAATCAACGTTTAATAACAACACAGCCTTCTCGGCATTGCATTTGGTAGCGCCAACGTTTGAGGGTGTTATTCACAACAGGGCTGAGGCATTTCCCTATTTTACCGAAATCGATTCCCTTTTCAATGAAGGGATTCACATCCCTAAGGTCAATCGGAATCTTTTCGACATTATTCCGAATCTTCTTAAAGCTGTAGCTGACACCGGAAATCATCTCTTGCTTTACGCGACTCCTAAATTTGTTAACAGTACGTAATTACTTGGCTTCCGGTACAAATTCGAAAAATTCAATTTAAAATTTTTTTTAGGCAGAGTTACTAATACATGGTTCTTTATATATATATACATATATATATATATATATATATATTTTCCAGGCGATAAATTTGGATGGCTGAGGGATGTTGAATTTGCTCGTCAAACCCTAGCAGGTGTAAATCCATGTTGCATAGAGTTAGTTAAGGTAATATTGATCTGCCATGTTCTAATACATAAAAACTCGATGTCCAATCATGTCTTTTTTAATTTTTTTATTTTTTTTACTTTAAATAGTTACACTGATCTAAACAAAAGATCTCCACAAATTGAATGCTCAGGAGTGGCCGTTGAAGAGCAAACTAGATCCAGAGGTGTATGGGCCTGCGGAATCAGCCATCACAACCGAGATCGTTGAGCAACAAATTAAAGGTGTAATGACGGTTGAAGAGGTAATGAAAAATGATTAAATAACATATTTCGCAGCCTACATCTAGAACAGTGAAACATTCCGAGCAACAATGTCATCAGTTTTTTTTAATATCATTTCACTATACAAATTCACTCAGAGATAAAAATCGCATTTTCTTTCGGATCACCTAATCAATCATATGACCATGCAGGCCTTGAAGCAAAAGAAGCTGTTCATGTTAGACTATCATGACATACTATTACCATTTGTGGAGAGAGTAAGAAAACAAAAAGGGACAACGCTTTATGGATCAAGGACACTATTTTTCCTGACCCCTGAAAACACATTGACCCCTTTGGCCATTGAACTTGTTTGCCCTCCAATTGATGGAAACCCTCAATACAAAGAAGTTTTCACGCCGGCCGGTTGGAGTTCAACTGATTTGTGGTTGTGGAAGCTTGCTAGAGCTCATGTCCTTGCTCATGACTCTGGTATTCACCAATTAGTTAGTCACTGGTATGCCTAAATAGCTTTATCTTTAATATCTCTAGTAGAAAAAAGTCTTGTTATATTTGATTTATTATGTGCACACTATCAAGGATGAGGAAGAATGTTAATTTTTTTGTTACTTAATGCAAAATGTTTGTTCTAGGGTGAGGACTCATTGCTGCACAGAACCCTACATTATCGCGAGCCACCGCCAACTTAGCGAAATGCATCCAATCTATCGACTGTTGCACCCTCACTTTCGATACACAATGGAGATCAATGCTTTAGCTCGTGAAAAGCTCATTAATGCGGGCGGCATCATTGAAGGTGCTTTTTCGCCATTCAAGCATTCTATGGAGATCAGTTCAGTTGCTTATGACAAGCTGTGGCAATTTGACCTCCAAGCACTACCAGCAGATCTAATTCACAGGTAATACAGGACTTTATTTATGACGACTTCTAATCAGATAATATTGGTAACTTAACAGCTAATGATGTGATGTTACATTATTTTAATTGAAGGTATCAGTGAACTATTAGGGAATGACAAAATCGGAATGATATTTGAGATCTTGCTTTCTTTGATAAGGAAATTTTGATGTTCTTTTCATTCACTCTTAAACTGCTAAAGCTATCAAAAAAGAAAAAAGAAAGCTCTAAATGAATACATAAAGGATTGCTTTTCTATTTCTTCCTCTTTGAATCTGTACATTATTTTGGGAAACTTAATGGACATTACCATTCGGTTTTGGTATGCAGGGGAATGGCAGAGCCAGATCCTACTGATACAAACAAATTAAAGCTAACAATCGAAGATTACCCTTATGCAAATGATGGATTGCTCCTTTGGGATTACATCAAAGAGTGGGTGACAGCTTATGTCAGTCATTACTATCCTGGAGCAGAATCCGTACAATCTGATGAGGAACTTCAAACCTGGTGGACCGAAATTCGAACAGTTGGACACGGTGATAAGAAAGATGAGCCCTGGTGGCCTGTCCTGAACAGCCCTGATGATCTTATAGGAATCTTGACAACCATCATTTGGGTCACTTCAGGACACCATGCTGCTGTAAACTTCGGCCAATACGACTTCGCGGGGTACTTTCCAAACAGGCCAACCATAGCAAGAACCACTATGCCAACTGAAAGTGCAAGTGAAGAAAGAATGGAACAGTTCATGAAGCGGCCCGAGGCCGAGCTCTTGGCTTGCTTCCCTTCACAATATCAGGCATGTCTTGTCATGACAGTTCTTCACATTTTGTCATCTCATTCACCTGATGAGGAATACCTTGGAGACATAATTGAGCCTTCTTGGGTAACGGATCCGGTCATAAAAGCCGCATTCGATAAATTCCAAGGCCAATTGAAGGAGCTTGAAGCTGAAATTGACAGAAGAAATCACGATAAGAACCTCAGGAACAGGAATGGTGCTGGTGTGGTGCCTTATGAGCTTCTAAAACCATTTTCTGAGCAAGGAGTAACGTCGAAAGGAGTTCCATACAGCATCTCCATCTGAATTTATTACGTAGATATCAAAAATTTGTTACAAATTCATGAAGGCCAAAAATTGATCCCTTTTACTAAATGGAAAATTCCGTTATTTGAGGGAGGTAATCTGTATATATACAATAAGTATTGCTACTTCTAAGTTTCTATTTAAAAAAAAAAAAAAGGTTTTATTAATTAATTAGTTCATAGTACTTTACTTTGTTACAACAATCACGACAAATGTCCACAAAACCAACGTAATGATCATTTGCAAAACGCCATTCCCTAGTTGCCATTCTGGTAGTATTGGCCAGCAGTGAATATTGTTTGAATGACGGTGAGTACGAGAATTACAAAAGCAGCAATAAGGGACAATGTTGTCCATGGATTCTTGAAGTAAGTATGCATTAGATTAGCCCGCCATTGGTTCCATGGCTTCCTGGAGTACTGAGCCGCATCCCTTCGGACCTGGTTAATAGGGTTATTACTCCACAGATCAATCGGGACATCTTTCGTGAGTGAATTGAACATCTTGGCCAAGGTTTCATGACTTCCGAGCCCATTAACGTAAATGATCCCCTGAGAATGCAAGAGATTCACGTCGTTGGCACTGTCTATAATGTCGTCCATGAGCGCGACGTAACATGCCACTTCGTTCCCTATCCCATGATGGAACATCTCGAAGGCGATGAGGTTTTGGAACACGGGTTCTGTCATGTCATCCACTATGATTGGAGGGAGCCGAAGAACTCCGCCTTGGAAGGAGACATCAGTGAGCTTCTCTGTTTTGCTCTGTTGGATTTTGATTCCGGCTTCAAGAAGTTCTGTTGCTGATGGAATTTGGTCTATTACTGTTAACGAATGCTGTCCTGGTGGGCTCAGTTTCTCTGCTTTGCTCTTTTGAACTTTGGGTCCGGCTTCACGAAGCGTTGCTGCTGATGGAATTTGGTCTATTACTGTCAATGAATGATGTCCTCGTGGTGGGTTCAATTGCTCTGTACCCCTCTGTTGAATTCCGATGCTGCCTTCACGAGGCTTCGTTGCTGATGGAATTTGGTCTATTACTCTCCATGAATCTGGTAGGAATGGGCTCGATTTCAGAGGCCTCCTGAATTTGTTAACAAGTTCCTGTGGCCTTGGAGTTGGATATTGTACTTCTTGCGGGGCTTTTAGTTTTTGTTCTGGTCTTGCATGTTCACTGAGTATTGGTCTTATCGATGGCTCTGGATCTTTCTTCTTCTCCAAAGTTGGCTGACTGGGATCGAGTAATGGCTGCTCTGAATCTTTCTTGTCCTCGGAAATTGGCTGATTGGGATCCAGTAATAGTAGGCTTTTACGATAAGCATCCAGGATATGTTTGCATTCTCCCAATTCCATTCCTTGGTTGCGGGGACAACAGAATTTGATTATGAGATTGTTCATATAGCGTACCAGCGGCCCCCGTCCCTACCCAATTCAAGTTTAGTAATATCTTCAAAACTACCCTAAACTTCAAAATTACTCCCTCCGTTTCTTATTATAAACCATCTTGATTTGTGATATGTTTCATTTGATATGTTTTTTCAATTAAAAATGAAATTTTAAAAATATTTTATGATAATTGAAAAAACACAATAAGTGTCAAAGTACATTTTTTTATTTTCATTAAAAATCATACTAGATAAAATTTAAAACAACTCAAGATGGCTTATAATATGAAGCAGAGAGATTAGGTAGTAAAATTCAAAAGCAAAACAAAAACTAAATGAAATTAAAACGAAAAGAAAAACGCTGTCTGTAGTTTGTTGATGATTACCTTGGGGGCTTCTTTATATGCTAAAGGAAGCAACGCGTGAAGAAGCGACATTGGCAACTGATTCTCCAGCATCAACATGTCACGCTTGATGTAAGGCACCAAATACTTGCCATTGATACCGAAAATCGGATCGCTCTCTGTGTAAACGCTTGGCCGTTTTTCTTCGCAGTAGTGAAGCAACATTTCGAGCATAAAACAACCATCCCTTATCATCATATCCATGAAGTGATCCGCACCATCACCTTGAAACTTCTCATCCAAAGCGTCATACGCATCCTTCAAACTGCTCCCGGTATATGTAAACTTGTCGACGCAGCTGTTGAAATCGATGTTTGCTCTTTTCAAGAAACAAATTAGAGCCCTTGTTTTGTGGGTTTCCATTGCCAGCAAATTTGGTTTACCGTGGTGGTAAGGACCGAAGGAGACCACCCGAGGCTGGTAAGCATTCTTGTTCAGATCAGTAATTCGTGCAGGAAGTTTGTGAATTGACTGCTTTTTCCATATCTTCTCCTGTTTATCTCGGTCCCATTCTGGCATCAATCTCGTATACTTTCTTAGTGCCATACGTACTTATCCTGATTAAGAAACTCGAACGCGCGACCTATTAGAAAGTCACAGAGGTAAAAATGAACTAGAGCTTTTAAATATGTGGTGACGATGATTTTGTTACATTAATTTTCTCGATATGATTGAACAACTTTATATAGAACTTTATCCAACCTTAATTTGTATGTGTTTGTGCGTGTGTGGGAAGCAGCGTCGCATCAAAGTAAAATGTTGATTCCACATTCTTATCTTGCAATGAATAATGAATATCGATTTCAACGAATCCGAGTAAATATGGATTCCATATTCTAAACGGGACTTGATTCAAAATGAACCCAAGAATCTTAATGAATTTTTGCAAAACGACTGTTTAGTTCGCAATCAAAAAGTTTTACCAAGCGTCTTAAAATAATTCCTGAAACTCTTCTTTTTTTTGTTTTTTTTACATCATTTTTTACGCTAGCTTTGTTATGCTAATAGATGTTGATAGTACAATGACATTTCACCTTTTTGGGCAAGTGTTGCACTTACTTGTAACAAGATTTTGTATCAATAAAATTTCATCAGCTACAGTTGTGTTGGGGATTTATCTGGAGGAGAAAACCCGACATGGAGCCCAATAAGTAAGATAAGACCCATCTGAACTCAAAAACTCAAGCTAATGGGTTTTGAGACCACCTTACTTATTAACTGATTCACATGTCCTCATGCCTCCGATGTCGGATTCACAATCCTTGTCACATGACCCTCCACATTCTCCTCGTCATGGGCAATCTCCAAATCGGGCTTACCAAACCCAAATCTGTACTCCACCTGAGTAACTGGGCTGCCCATCCCTACGTTTCCGCTCGTAGTGGGCCTTTGACTGCCTGGCTTCAGTCAGATCAACCGAGATAATTTGGGCTAAATCACCCACCCACTTGATCCAACTTGGGCTTACCACTGTTGGAGATTTATCTGGAGGAGAAAACCCGACATGGAGCCCAATAAGTAAGATAAGACCCATCTGAACTCAAAAACTCAAACTAATGGATTCTGAGACCACCTTACTTATTAACTGATTCACATGTCCTCATGCCTCCGATGTGGGATTCACAAACCTTGTCACATGACCCTCAACATTCTCCCCGTCATGGGCAATCTCCACATCGGGCTTCCAAATTATCTTACCAAGCCCAAATCTGTACTCCACCTGAGTAACTGGGCTGACCATCCCTACGTTTCTGCTCGTAGAGGGCCTTTGACTGCCTGGGTTCAATCAGATCAACCGAGATAATTTGAACTACATCATTATTGTTGGGCCTATTCCCCTCACTTGGGCCCAGCGGAGTATGAAACCAAAAGCTAATTTGGTTTTGGCTTTGTTATTTGACCGGGGAAAATAAACCTAATTCAATTGGGTTTTGGTTCTGGTTTTTTATGCTTATAAAAGCAAGGTTGTACACAACCTTTTGGGTATGTTTTTCAGCCGAGAGAGAAGGAGAATTAGGGCAGCTGCGCAAGGGTTTTGTGCGAGAGAAAAAGAAAGAAATCTAGGGTTTATTTTTCGGTTTAACTCTCTTTTGGTTAGATCCTTCCAGTCCTACTCTGTGATAGGTGTTTTGGAAAAGTATTGTTGTAATCCACCTTTGGGTGAAGTCCTGTGTATCCACCAGTTGGTGAAGACTGTTTTCCCATTATTGTGATAGTGGAGATTTGACTGTTATTACAGTCCCATGATTTTTCCCGATTTGGATTTTCACGTAAATTTGTGTGTCTACTTTACTTTATCAGTTCTTGAATTAGTTGCTTATTTGGTTGGTTGTCCTATTTAATTGGTAGTAGGAAAGGAGTTTTTTTTGGGGTTCGCTTCCGTAGTGTGTTGTGTTTATGCCCTTTCCGCCACAACAGCGGCATCAGAGCTACGGTTTGGTAGTTGAGGTGTTACGCCAATAAAATGGAAGAGTCATCGGGTGCTGGTACGATGATTAAATTAACTTCATCCAATTATCATATTTGGAAACCTAGAATGGAAGACTTGTTGTATTGCAAAGATTTGTTTGATCCCGTTTTAGGGGATGAAGGTAGGCCAAGTGATATGACTGATAAAAAGTGAGCTATTTTGCACACGAAGACTGTTGGTAATATTTGACCGTGGATTGATCAAAGTGTGTTTCCTCACTTTTCGGGAGAAACAAAAACTGATGAACTTTGGGAGAAAATCCAGAATATGTATTGGAAGAAGTCCGGCATCAATAAGTCGTCTGCGCTGAAACAGATTACCAGGTTGAGGTACAAAAATGGTGCTAGCATGAATGAGCACTTGAGTTTGTTTCAGGGTTTGTTGAACCAAGTTGTGAATGTAGGTTTAAAGTTGAATGATGAGGTGCAGGCTTTGTTATTGTTTAGTTTTCTTCCAGACAGTTGGGACACTTTGGTAGTGTTAATCAATAATTCAACCCAGGATGGTGTCTTGACCTTGGATCGGGTCAAAGAGGCTTTGATGAATGAAGAAGCCAGAAGAAAAGAGCAGAGTATTGAGTCTGAGTCGCAGGCTCTGGTGACAGAAAAGTCAGACATAAGAGGGAGAAGTAAAACCAGAGGGCCACGTGATCGAAATGACAAGTCCAGGAGACGGTCTAAATCCAAGAAAGATGTCGTGTGCTACCATTGTCAAGGGAATGGACACTTTAAGAGAGAGTGAAGGGTTCTCAAGAGAGAACTAGCAGTGAGAAAAGGTAAAGGCAAGAAGAATGAATCAAGTGATGATGACACTACTGTAGTAGTAACTACCAGTGATGTATTTGTGTACTGTGATGATGATACAATTAATGTTGCGAGTCACGACAGTGATTGGTTCGGTGATTCAGGTGCGTCTTATCATGTGACGCCTCACAGACACTTCTTTACCTCTTACACACCTGGAGATTTTGGTCATGTAAGAATGGGCAACCAAGCCTCATGCGATATTGTCGGCATGGGAGAGGTATCATTGGTAACGAATACATATTGTACTCTTGTCTTGAAGAATGTCAGACATGTTTCGGATATGCGTCTGAACCTTATTTCTGTTGGTAAACTTGATGATGAGGGTTATCATAGCACTGAAGGTGGTGGCCGTTGGACAATTACCAGAGGGAATCTTGTTATTGCTAGAGGAAAGAAGTTGAAATCTTTGTATGTGTTGAATGCAAAGTTGAAGAATGGAGAGGTGAATGCGACTCACAATGCCTCCATTGATCTCTAGCACAGAAGGCTTGGACACATGAGTGTTAAGGGGCTGCAGATTCTTGGTAAGAAGTAATTTCTCCCAGAGGTGAAAGGTACTACTCTAGAACCTTGTGTTGACTGTATCTACGATAAACAACATAGGGTTTCTTTTGAAAATTCTTCTCCATCTAGAAAGTCCAGTCCTCTAGAGTTAGTTCATACAGATGTATGTTACATGAAAGATAGGTCGTTGGGTGGAGCATTGTACTTTGTTACTTTCATTGATGACTATGCTCGAAAGGTTTAGTGTTTTTCTTTGAAATCTAAAGATCAGGTATTAGATGTGTTCAAAGACTTTCACCTTAGAGTTGAACGAGAGACTGGCAAGAAGTTGAAGTGTGTTCGAGCAGATAATGGTGGTGAGTACAGGGGTCCGTTTGAGAAGTATTGCCGAGACCATGGCATTAAACTTCAGAAGACTGTTCCGAAGACTCCGCAGCAAAATGGCGTGGTAGAAAGAATGAACAGAACTATTACCGAAAAAGTTAGGTGCATGCTCTTGAATGCAAAGCTGCCTAAATCTTTTTGGGGTGAAGCCATGCAGACAACAGTTGATATGATCAACCTATCTCCCTCAGTTCCGTTGGATGGTGATCTACCACAATGAGTTTGGACAGGGAAAGATGTCTCATTTAGGCATTTACGAGTTTTTGGTAGTCGTGCATTTCTTCATATTCCCAAAGATGAAAGGTCGAAGATTGATGGCAAATCCAAGCAGTGTGTATTCTTGGGGTATGGAAATGATGATTTTGGGTACAAACTTTAGGATCCTGTAGAGAAGAAAGTTTTCAGAAGCAGAGATGTGATCTTCTTTGAATACCAGATCATTGATGATATGGGAAAAGGCGAGATGCCAGAATCTTCACCTGAGATTCCTTTTGATCTAGATCCAGTTCTTCCACAATTAGATGATTCTCCTGAAGGGGGAGCTGAGACAGAGCAGGATGGTGAGTTTAATGATGATCCTGTTACTGAAACAAAGACACCACTGGTTTCATCACCTCCTGTTCAGCCTAGGAGGTCCACCAGAGACAAGAGACCTTCCACCAGGTACAGTGCTCATGAGTATTTGTTGCTTACTGATAGGTGAGAGACAGAGTCGTATGAAGAGATTCTTAGTCATGAGCAGAAAGATCAGTGGTTAGCAGCCATGCAAGATGAGATCAAATCCTTGCATGAGAATAACACGTATGACCTGGTGAAGCTACCTAAGGGCAAGAGAGCACTCAAGAATAAATGGGTGTTTAGACTAAAAACAAGTGAGAACAGCTCACAACCGAGGTACAAAGCCAGATTGGTTGTGAAGGGATTCAATCAGAGAAAGGGCGTAGACTTTGATGAGATATTCTCTCCTGTTGTAAAGATGTCTTCAATCTGAGTTGTGCTTGGAATAGCGGCCAGCTTGAATCTTGAGATTGAACAGCTTGATGTGAACACAACCTTCCTGCATGGTGATTTGGAAGAAGAGATTTACATGGAGCAACCAGATGGGTTTCAAGAGAAGGAGAAAGAGAAGCTTGTATGCCATTTCAACAAAAGCTTGTATGGGTTGAAGCAAGCTCCGAGGCAATGGTACAAGAAGTTTGATGCCTTTATGATAGGGCAGGGATACCAAAGGACTACAGCTGATCATTGTGTGTTTGTGAAGAAATTCTCTGATGGTGATTTTATAATTCTTTTGCTTTATGTCGATGACATGTTTATTGTTGGTCATGATACTGTAAAGATTGTCAGGTTGAAAAAGGAATTGAATAAATCCTTTGCGATAAAGGATTTGAGTCCGGCTAGACAGATCCTTGGGATGAAGATTTCTCGTGACAGACAGAATGGGAAGCTTTGGGTATCTCAGAGAAATATATCGAGAAGGTTC